TAATCTTTCCTCATCAAAAACATAACTAGAGTTGTGTTTTGTTTCATTCACACAAACCCTGTATATTCAGGCTTTAGGAGTTCTCTCAAACTGAAACCACTGTTCCACCTTGTGATGCCCTGAGGTAATATAGGGAGTGCACCACTGTGTTTTTAATCTCCTTACACCTTCACAAGAATAATTTGTTGAATGTTTTCAGACCTAATCTCTACTGAACTAAAAGTAAAAGGTAGCACAAGGTGGAACAGAGCATTTTGAGCTTTGGAGATTTAGACAGACTAGAGTTACTCAAACAACGTGTGAATGAGGATGTTATGAAACTGAACACATTCACAGTGTCTTAAACACATTTGCAATATGCATTATAAATCTAGGTGCATTTTCATATCAAAAGGATTAGTGCCTGTTGACTGGTTGTGTGACTGTTAGAGTGTTAAAATCCTGGAGATTTTTTTTTTTTTTTTTTTTTTTTTGGAGTCCCACAAGGTGGATATGTTGGCAAAAAAAAGAGGGTGACAGGTTTGTGCAGAGCGGTGGTTAAACATTACACTTTACTATGAATCACGAACTAAGCAACCCCTGACAGCGACAGAGGGCATTACACAATAGTTGGTTTAATAGTTGAGCCTGGGTTAGCATCGTCCGTAGGTCATCACCCCTTGAGCATTATGCTGCTGCAGGGCATACTCAGAATTAGTTACAAATGGAAATCTGCCAGAAGGAGTTGTCTCAGCTTGTCCAGGTATGTATTGTTTGTTTGTCTTAATCTGCTGTTCCTTGTTGAAGTTCTAGACTGGTTATGAATGACAGGAGCCTGCACGTGGACAGCCCTCCTCAACAGCCCACCCTGCACAGCAGTTATGTCCACGGCACGTCTTCAGTGTCTCTGCTGCCTCTCACTGTGAGCCAGGCCCTGGAGTCAGTCACACAGCGCTGGCCTGAGCGAGAGGCTCTGGTCTGTGTGGAGGATGGGGTCAGGAAGACCTTTGCACAATTTCACCAAGATGTGAGTTTTAGAATACTAATACATGGACAAACATGACACCAACTCTGTATTTTTGCAAAGATTCTAAAGAGTAACAACATTTACATATGTTGTCTACGTCATAGATAAATAAGAAAAAAATCTGAAACAGACTGAGATGTGGGTGGAGATGTGTGCTCAAATAAATTTTTAGTATCAGGAAAAATCTGATATTTGGGGAAAATTATAATATGGGGTAGTAATATACAATTCTGACTTTTTTATCTTTTGTAAACAAAAAAAGTATTTTGCACTTCTGGCAGGCCGTTTGCGTGTATGTGCCATTCTTGCGCAGTCTGCATTGCCCACATTTATCAGCATGGAAAAGACTCCTGAGTAAAAAAAAAGCTCATATAATATGGATGTGGAGTAAGTAGGTACTTGGAATTTAGCTGTTGCAAATGTGCAATGCCTGCCGGGACAGGGTTAATTATTACAAACAAATGTAAAGAAGATTATATATCTTATCATGTAAACTATATTTATGGGACTAATACTATTAATGCATTGGTCTTTTTATCAAACATTGACTGACTGTAGAACAATGATGTAACAGCTGTTGTGCAGATAAGAACTGTGACCCTGATCAACACTTATTAACCTACTGCACCAAAGCTTCTCCAGTGTAAGTGTTATATTTTATTCTGGTGCAGGTGGACAGGCTGGCTGCAGGACTACTGGCCCTGGGCCTAAAACCAGGAGACCGTGTAGGAGTGTGGGGCCCCAACTCATATGAATGGATCCTATCTCAGTTTGCCACAGCCAAGGCTGGCATGATACTGGTCTGTCTTGAGTCTAAAGTAAATGCATGTATTGATCAGTGAATCTGAAGCATAGCTTATCAAATTTATTGCTGCAGGTTTCACTGAACCCAGCCTATCAAATGAAGGAGGTGGAATTTACTCTTAAAAAGGTACAAAGTATTGAGCAAATCAAAATTGCTTATGCAAAGTTTTAGTAATACACATGTCACTGTTTTTTTGTTTGTTTTTTTTTATTTGCAGGTTCAGTGTAAAGCAGTTATTTGCCCCTCTAGTTTCAAAACCCAAAAGTTCAGTGAAATCCTCAGAAGCCTCTGTCCAGAGATTGGCACATCATCAAAAACTCATATCCAAAGCTCCAGGTAAAACAGCTCTCATAAAGGACAGTAAAATCATTTATTTACAATGTGGTTTCTATTCTCGTCCTGTAGACTTCCAGACCTGCGCATGGTGATCCTGATGGACAGTGTGCAGCCAGGAATGTTACACTTCCAGGATGCAATGGAAGCAGGCGAGAGTCGGCACCACAGAGAGCTGATGGATCTGCAGAGCAAGCTCACATGTGATGATCCCATTAACATCCAGTTTACTTCGGTATTCAGTTTTTGCTTTTAACTGTGTTGAACTGACTTTGATTTGAATGGTCTTACTGAATAGATTTTTTGATTATGCTGTTTTTAACTTTGTTATATAATATAATATTAATAGAACATAGTATTAATTAGTTACAAAAAATCCAAAAAGTGATCATTGTTTGTCTTAGGGTACAACTGGAAATCCGAAAGGAGCCTGCCTGTCACATCATAACATCGTAAATAATGCATATTTTGTGGGTCTCAGAATGGGCTATGACTGGAGGGTAAGTGTATCTTTTTCTCATTATATTTAATAGGAAAAAACAACTATCAAGTACATGTTTTTTCAACCCCCTGCAGCCTGAAGTGCGTGTGTGTACACCTGTCCCCTTTTACCACTGCTTTGGCTCTGTAGTCGGAGGGATGTGCTTGGCAACACATGGTATTACTTTGGTCTTTCCCTCCAAAGGCTACGACAGTCAGGCCAACCTCAAGGCAATTCAGAAAGAAAGGTAAACTGCAGTAATCATAAGAAACATACTCTCTCAAATGTTTATTTATTTATTTATTTGAGACAGGGACAGCACACAATTTTTGCATTAACCTTAACAGGAGAGATGCATTGTACATCAGGTTGTAGCATCAGTGCTAATTTCCACCTGTAGTCCCTGGGCAGGTTCATTGATTAATTGTATTTAACTCACCTTGACTATCAGCTGTTCTTGAAGACCTATGTAGCATGTTTTGGGTTGATGGAGGAAACCGGAGCACCCAGTGGAAACCCATCCAGACACGGGGAGAAACATATACACTCCACACAGAAAGGCCTGGGTAACCTGGGGATTGAAACCAGAACTTTCTTGCTGTGAGGCATGAGAGCTAGCCACTCAGTCACCCTGCTGCAAAATGTGTGTCTGATTCTGTTTAATTTTGTTTCAAGGTGTAACATTGTCTATGGGACTCCCACAATGCACACAGACATGCTCAACCAGAGAGATCTACACACATTCGACTTATCTTCAGTAGAAGGGGGTAAGGAGCTATTGTAAATGACTGTATGGAAATATGAAATTTCACTTCCATTTGTCTACCCCAAGTCAGCTGTGGCTACAGTAGTAACTTACCATCATAGAGTGTAGAGTGAATGAATAATGCACTGTAAAAAGTTTTGGTATTTTGAAATGCACAATATAAATCCAGTGCATTATTATTATTTATGTAATACTGTCTCTTTTTGGCCAGGTATTATGGGAGGAGCCCCTTGTCCTCCTGAGATAATGAGGAGACTCAGAGCTGAGATGAACATGAAAGAAATCACTGTAAGATATTTATTCACTGTACTGTGTCTGGTTCAATATTGTGATTTACTATTTGTAAATTTAGGTAATTTATGGAACAACTGAGAATAGTCCTGCAACTTTCTTAGGATTCCCTCTGGACGTCGATGAGCTCAAGTTAAATACAATTGGCTGCATAATGCCCCACACAGAGGTATGAATATTAATTAAATAGTATTTTATCTGAGCTTTAAAACAGTGACTTGTGTTGTTCTGTGGTGTTAGGCTAAAGTGGTGGACCCTGTGACTGGGGTCACAGTTCCTCTGGGAGCTTCAGGAGAGCTCCTGATCAGAGGCAGCTGTGTGATGCTCGAATACTGGGAAGATGAGGCCAAAACTAGAGAAGTCATTGGTAAAGACCGCTGGTACAGGACGGGGTAAGCACAAAGTAACCATCTTTATACTCATTAATACTCATAATCTTGTATCTTGTAGTATTTCTGCTTAATAACAATTTTGACAATTTGTTTGTCACAATCAGGGACATAGCCAGTTTGAACAGCAAGGGATACTGTGCCATAGAAGGACGGATAAAAGATTTGATCATCAGAGGAGGTGAAAATATCTACCCAGCTGAGATAGAGCAATTTTTATTCACACATCCAAAAGTCAAAGAGGTGCAGGTATGTAATTATGCCACTAGATGGCAGCAAAAGAGCTCTCATTGTCAAACCTAGTTGGAATCCACATAAGCCAGTTTTAATATTGTAGCCAAAGATACATTTTTTCTATAGGTGGTTGGAGTGAGAGACGAGAGGCTGGGTGAGCAGGTGTGTGCTTGTATCACACTGAAAGATGGAAAGAGCTGCACTCAACAAGAGATTCAATCTTTCTGCAAAGGACAGGTCAGAAAAACTCAAATGACTTTATGCAACACAGAATCCATGTTAAAACCATGTTGTTTTATAGATCTCCTACTTTAAAATCCCACATTATGTGATGTTTCTGGACAGTTTTCCATTGACACCTTCCGGAAAGGTAAGGTGACTTGCTGACTGTTTTCATACTAATTTATAGAAAAATCACAATTGTTGTGACAATGTTGATGCTATATTTGCAGATTAAGAAAATGGTATTAAAAGACAATATGGAAAAACAACTGGGCCTTCAGTGACATACCCTTCAGTATAACATGACACTGAACCATACGTAGATATTTCACTTCACACATTGCAACTACTTTTAAAACCTGTTTTAATATTCCTTTTTTTGTTTTTAGTGAGTGGTCATATATAATAAATAAATCATTTGTGTATTTGCTCAATAAATATAGCTGTACAAACAACATCAAATCACACAACCCTTTTCTTTTTATTTTTTTTATTTTGGTAAAACAACTTAGACAAACTGATAATTGAATACACTTTCCACAGTATGAATCTCAGTATCCAAACTCATGCCATACGCAATCTGTAATATAATAAATAAGACTTTAGCATTAAAGTCAGTGTTTACAAATGCAAACTAACCATTCTTACAAGCTATTTACAGTGATGGCAGAACATATGAAGCAGGCTTATGCAGTGCTCCAAGTCATTTTCCATAAGATAAAGAATGCAACAACAATTCAAATGAATTGAAATTACTTAATGCTAACTACATTTGAACATATTGGTTTTGCACATACAGGTTTAAGAGGTCTGCAATACTGCTAAAATCAAAGACACTAACTTTGCAAAGCAGTAATCTTGAGATATATAGCAAGAGCCTGTTACAATTTATATAACTTTGCATAAAAATTCAAATAAAACATTAAATTGTCAATAGGAACGCAACAAATACAGTAACTGTGTATATGTTTAAGTGCAGATTGACACTGGTGTTTGACATTAAAATTGCATTTAAAAACTATAGCAAACCGCCTGTAATTAAATAAAATTAAATAAAATAAAAAAAATAACACTGGCTACATTGCTTTGAACGGTCAACATTCACTTCAGTCATACTATTCAATAGGTCCAGCCATACCTCTTTCATAAATAACACATGCATTAAATCAAATGGCATTTTAAAGCTTCACGGTCAAATGTGCAAAATCCATTCATACAAACAGTCCCTTTTAAACTATGTTGAATCTTTATTTGACTGTGCAAAAGAGAACATAAGCAGTAGTAATAGCTGAACTGTCATTTTGTATGTAACAGAGAGGATCACCTTTGCAGTGACGTCAATACAGCCGTACAGCTTGAGGCACATGCAGAAAGTAGCTGCGTAGACGTGTTCACAACCTCCGTCAGTGCTTTCAGAGCTGCGTTCAAGACTAATGCCGTTCAATGGTCAAAGCCTGTCAAAGCTCTGGAATTAAACTTTGCATAAAATTTTCCCCACAGATTTTTTTTTGGAAAATTCAGATATTAAAAGTTTAAAAGGCACAATGGAGGCTAACCATCTATGGGGTAACCAATGTCCATAAAGCTGTTGTTTTCAGTAAAAAAAAAAAAAAACTTAAATTGGGTGTATTAATAATTGATATTTATCAAGTTTTTAAAACAGATTTAAATTCCATTTTAGGTCCTGTGGTCATTAGTTACTACATAGCTGACTTGCCTCAAGCAAGCTTTCATACTTTTTAATATAATGTTTGTGGGCAAAATTTATGTAAAACTTCTTCTGGAACCTTGCAGTGGGTGGTCACTGTTGAGCTCCATTACTATGGTAATAGAACATTCACTCAAGTCTAAAAACCCTCTCATAAACAGTCATCCACACTTTCCTTTCACACCATACTTGAATAGAGTCCCCTCTGTGCCATAGTTTGATATTGTTGTGGAGGGATGGCACTTCACACACTCAGAGGCAGCATTCCCGGTGGAGACACAGCTCGAGAAGTTTTCAAGGAGTTCAGTGGGCTTGGGTCCAGTCCATTAACCGTCCTGCAAGAAACAGATTTCAATAACATGTCCTAATACAACAAAACAGGAAGACAACTGAAAAGCAGAAGTTACGATTTGTCGAAGTAAGTGGTATGAAGAGAGTGAGAGAACTTGGTGGCATTGCTGTTGATGAGTGTGCCGTTTTCATAGTTTTTCCTTGCTGCTTGATCTTTGGCGAAGTTTCGGCAAGCAGCAAGTTTAGACTCCAAAGCCTAGAACAAAGAGAAAACTTGGTCTTTAGAATGATGTCCTCCAAATGTCCAAATGGAAAAAATAATCTTTTTGACAAAGCTGTTCTTACCCCAACCTTCCTGAGGAGATCACCAACTATATTGAGGGCTGATATACGAGCTGAAGGAGTAAGGGTTGAGGTACCGTTGGACAATGCTGTAGCAAACAAAAATAAGTTAATATCATTTTACTTTCTTGTCACGTATTGAAAATAAATGCATTGCACTGACCTTTCGGAGCAGTGAAGGCCTGCTCTATGCTCTTTGCTACAGGTGTTGCTGGTAATGATAAAGAGGCCTGAACTGCAGAGTCGATCTTGTCTATATCCAGAGTGGGTGAGCTTGGCGCAGACATTCTATCTGATGCTCTCTCACGGACAGCGAGCTCCTGCCTCAAATCTGTTAAAGAAAGACAGTTTAAATTAGAGCAGCAAGATACTTTGCATTCAAAATCAAAACTACAGTTTGAAAGCTTTGCAAATAGTAAGAAAAGACTACAATCTTTGTCATCTCTTACCTCGAGCTTCATCCTTCAGTCTCTGAACAGATACGAGCAAAGACTCCTTCTCATCCAGCTCACTTTCCAAAAAGGCATTTCTCTCAATGGCCTGATTTAGACGACTTTCAAAGTCTTCAAGTGAGACAATGGTGGCCCTATGTAGAAGATAAAACAATTAATACAATCCATAATAGTACTATGTAAAACACTGATGTAACATGGAGTTGCTCTGACCTCTTGGCCCGTTCCAGATCATCATTGGCCTGTTCGAGCTCTCGGACATATTTGTGGAGTTGCTCTTTGATGCTGCGCGTCTGCCCCAGATCATCCTCCAACATTGAGATCTGTTTATAACTCTGGGCGTACTGCTGCTCCAGCTTCTCCTGCAATGGAAAATATAATGGTTGTTGATGTATTTTCACAGTTCATATAGTATAAGCGTTATTAAATAAATAATAGAGCATGGCACATTTGATCAGACAAAAGCGAAAATACATTGCACACTCAGATGGCTGATGTCCAAAAGCCCCTTTATTTTTAAAATAACGTTTCGGCAAAAAAAGCCTTCATGAGATATCCTTCTTGCCCTGGACCACAGCACACAGAATTAACAGAAACACGTTGTTAACAGCAGAGGGTCATGAATTCATTTAAACTGTGAAAGGAGGAAGTAGGTATTTTAATCTGTCTGCCTAGCTCTCAAACTAAAAAAACTAAAAGACTAATTTATAAAAGAAGCAGGGTAAAGTGGCTTTAATTAATGACACAGTAGTGGACTGCAAACACTGTGGGCCCTAGAGATGCAAAGAGAGTTTGCCTGGCTTCTCTGGATTAATTTCACAGATTTTATATACATATATTATGTGGTACTAAAAATAAACTCAATTTGGATAATGAAGATAAGATAATGAAAACTCCCACGAGGTAACCTTTGTCCTCCCTCTACAGCTCTACGCCCAATAAAAAGGTGCTGGAGGAGGATTACCTGGCGGACACTTGACCCTGTGCTCAGCGTCAGATCAGATATCCTCTTGTGTAACAAGTAATCAATGACCTCCCAAGATAACCTTCGCACGCTTCAAGGCTTTAGGGCCGTTACCTTGAGGTTGGACATTTCATTCTTCAGTCTCTCATTTTCAGATTGCAGGTCTCGTAGTCTGTGCTCAGCCTGACCCAGCTGTGCCTCTAGTTCGGCCTCCAGTTCACGACTGCCCTCCTGAAACTCCAGCAGCTCCTCTTGGGCTTCCTGGCAACTGCAGAGAACAACAAGAGAATATGTGTGTCAATGTTTGGGCGTTCTAACCACTATTCAACACCCCACTGCCGGCTTTTGTCAGTACTATTGTGCTACAGAATAATACAAGATAACTATGGTGTGTTCCAGTAGCTTCAACTCATGTTGCATAAAATAAACCTACATAATAATCTCAGGTAGAGCAGCTTAATTGTAGAAAATCACTTGTATTTATATTTGGGTCATAACTGAAATTAAAATTTTTTGAAATTATTATTCATGTACTTTCAAACTTTTGCATGTTTTTCTGTCATTGCACCATTTTTTGTGCATGACTGAAGTAATTGTTATCACTATTATGTTGATTACCTGCTCTACACCTGACAATAATTTTGTTAGTTTTCCACCTGTATTCAGCAAATACCAAAGAGGAACAAAAATGTGACTCAGTTGTGTCGACTTGAGTGTGCTAAATATACAGAGGCTCTGGAGGGGCAGCTGCTCTGTGGCAGCAGTGAGTCCACAGGAGTAGAAAAACAGTCCTGTCATTTGTTTTTGTGTGAAGCGAAAGTCAAAAGGTCATAGGCAGGATTCACTATTCTAGGTTATTTTCAAAAGTCTTTAAATCAAAATATTTAACTATATGCCATTTCTTGTTTTATGATTTTTCTTACTCCAAAGAAATTAACAAAAAAATCTAACTAACACTATTTAAATAATTCACTAATCACTATTCAAATCAAAGTAAATGTCAAGTCAGTCATACTAATTAGGTCTCCAGTGTCGCTTCCTGAACACTTTCACAGTTTACAGAAGGTTAGACAGGTTTTCCTACACTACACACATTTGCTAGTTAACAGTTCACGACACTGAGATCAGCTGACTTGGGTTCACAATGTGTCTCTTCAGAGGAATTCATGAATCAGTTGTTGTGTTGGGGTCGTTCCACACATACCACAACAAGCAGCATTAGGCTAAAGCTAAAGGCTAAAAGATCCTGAGTTTATAGGAGACATGAACTTCTTTATTATTATTACAGTTATAAAATTAGCAATTATGAGAAGAAAATGAGAAAATGTTGCTTGAAGTATATAAAAAAAAAATATTTGAACATCAGCTGTGGTCTCTTTGCCTCAGAATAAAAGACGTGGTAATTTCCTCCTATATAAACCATCATAAACTGGGCAACCATTTAAAACACGGCTGAATATAAATTGAATCATTAAAAGTGTTTGAAAAGTGTATTCGAACAATTACAAGCCTCTATTTATTTCTGTAGTAAAGTATAGAAACAAGATATATTACTAAAAGTGTTATTTCAAAAATAAACATTTATGCATTTTTAAGTAGTAACAGGCCTCACCATTTTTTGTACTTCAGAGCTTGAGTTTTCCAGTAATCTACTTCTTCATCCTTTGTCGAAAATTTAGGAATCATCTCTGTGTCCATGTCAGGGCAACCTAAAAATTCAACAAGAAATCACAATCAAAGCTTGTAGATTGCAAAAATTAAAATATATATATTCATATATTGGGCAAGTCTCATCTTATTCTTCTATCACAATCACAACAACAAACCAAGTCACAAATATGAGCCACTGCTGCTAATCAAACAAAAACATCACAAAAGCATATCTGTAAGTAAAAATGACTAGTTTGAAGTGGTGAGTGAGGATTTAACTGGCCAGCTGTTCCTTTTTTAGTTTCTACAGAGCCCCTCTCTCTGATCTGTGTGAGCAAATGGGGGAGGTTTGAGAAAATACTTTAACACATCAGGAAACAGCCAAAGTGTGGAAGGAAATATAACTTCTGCTGCCAGGACATCCACCACTCAATATTCATCATCAGGATACTGTGATAACTCCTTCCTACATACTTCTAGAAAAACAGCTATGGTATGTCCAAGTTGTATGAATTTGGGTGCATTCATAGTCACACTTGCCTGAATTTGGTCCTGTTTAGAAATTACCAGTATGTTATTTTTTTTTTCATGGTCGATGCAGACTGTTTAGAATACAGAGCAACCGCTGGCCCATAAGTTCTGCAGATATTTTTGTCCTGATATGAAAGGCCAATTTTCATCATTTTCCCCAAATTATGTAATTTAAATCTACTAAAAGCTCCCCTCCAAGTCCTTTTTTTTTTAACCACAAACCTATAAGGCCTGGAGATTTGAGGCCAATAGCTGATACACTAAAAAAATATTAGCTTGATATATCTGTCTATCTCTAATCTTGTTTCAGCACATTTTTGATGTACTGGTAAAATATAATAAGAATCTAAAAATACTATTTCTACTATTACAATTACTTCAGAGAAAGCCGCCAGACTAAGCAGAAAGATGAAACCTCTATAATTTCTCCCAAAAGTACGTCCCAACTAATAGAGGAATATGTTGAGTCTGATTCCCGCCACTGATCTACCCCTTACATTCCTCTCACATGTTGTCATAAACATTTTCTCCGCTGTGGGCCCCTCACGTGTCCACACACACTCACAGAGGAAACCACTGGCCAGAAGGAAGGGCTGGGGGGAAAACTCTGGAAGAAATTACTTAACAAATCTAAATCCAGCCAGACCCTCAGCGCTTTTTCCGGGTATGGTAATTTAAAGCTAATTTAGCAGGCGCAGATGATTTTCTTTGACTGATGCCAAACACTGGAAACTGGGGCTTTCTATTGATGGATTATTGATGAATTGAAGTGGAAACCGTCTCTGTGGTTATCTTGTTAATAGCCTTTTAAGGAAATCTTTTGATGAAACCTACTAAGTAATTCCTTTATGCTCAGTGGTTAGGAGTGCTAGAAATATCATGCTTGAAGTCACATGCATACTCCTGCAATGGGGAAAAACTACAAGATATGAAATTCAACTTTATTAAACCCCAAAGGGACAATTACAAATGACATGTCTGATCCAATTCAGTATCCCTTGGACCAGTGTCACAGCGGCCTCTGCATGTTTGTCACTTGCATCAATTCCCAAGTGGGACAGCAGCCACTAGACAAGATAAGAATGATTTTTTTTTTTTTAGCAATCAGTATCGGCACAGTAGAAGAAAAGGAAGCTGTATCTACTTTATAAAATTCTGCGTATACATCCTCTTTTTGTTGTTGATAATGTAAGAATGTTGTCACCCTTACTCATGTTAGTAGAAAACTAGTAAGAGCTAATTCTGTGTAAAGGGCCCAATATTTTTTCTTTGAGGGTTCATCCATAGACTGTATATGGTTTCATCCCACTAACCACATTAGTATAACCGTGGTGAAGTTAGTTTTACGTTAGACGTTCGATATTCAGTTACGCATCAACAGCGGAGATGTTCATTGCCTGTGCCCCGCTTGCTCGATCACGGTGCGGGGAGCTGTACACCAAAGCTCCGCTGAGTCCGCGGGTTAGGGACCGTCAATAAATTACAATTGCATTGAATGGAGTCTGCTAAATAATAATAATAATAATAATAATAATAATAATAAAATAAATTAAATAAGAAAAAAATAAAAAGGGAATCAAATAAAAAGAAACAAAAAAGGGGTTGTGCATGTACGTTTTATAAAATATTTGTTATTTTTATATATTTTGAGGGTTAATTAGTAAATACATTTTTTCAATATCTTCCAGATCAATTAATCTAAAAACGCCAAACCAAGTTATTATAGTAGTCTTACTCCTCAGGTATCACGCACACATTTTTAGTTTTCCAATTTAACCCTTTGTGGGATTTTTAGGAATTTTTCCCTTAAAGATCTGCCTTTTTTTTTAATAGCTTCTAAGGTAGATGACCTACCAACTCCAAACCAAGTTATTATAGTAGTCCTACTCCTCAGGTATCACGCACACCTTTTGGTTTTCCAAATTAACCATTTTTGTTTTATAATTGAGTTGTTTTGTAAGTGTTGCTGTACTTACTGTTACGCAGATAAAAAGTGCGACCTACTCTGTGAAATCTACTCTGTAAAGTCTCCTCTGTGAAGTCTACTGTTTTACTCTTTGTGATGGAAAATCTTTGTTAAACCACTTCTTGTGCAAAGTTCATATGAAACACAAACATTTTAATCCTCAAAACAGCGAAAATGTCAAACGAGTTTCCTTCCACTAAACAAACAACGAAACTGTAGCTGTAACAAAATCATTTAGTAAAATAAACCAAAAATACTCTTGGTGATATATCGATAGAGCAGCCCACAATATCGATACTGTGTCATCACATTAAACGATACGATATATCGATATTTCAATATTTTTGCACATCCCTCTACTCTTTATCACACTGTACTTTGCCACGAAATATCCAAAAGGTAAACGCACAAATGTTAAACCTGGTATTGAAATGATTAATAAACTCACTGTTAGAACACAATGGCCACGTTCACATGATGTTTTTTAATTGTTCTGGATTAAATTGTTTGGACTTAAAATATTTTCCTTGGAGTTTACATGGAAATAATAATTCTGAATATCTGGGTTCCATATTTTATATGTAATTGGCCTAAGGTTAAGCTAGCTGTTAATTCACACCCTGTCAGTGAGGCGACACATGATATCTGCGTTGGTTTGTGAGACAAACAAACGTCCACCCTTAAATCTAAACAAAACAAGTTGAATACTGAAGAATCTCAAGAAAAATAACAAATTTAACAAACATATAAACGCCCATGGAGCTGCCAGTTGTGACCGCGCAGCCGCTTCACCTCTCGGAAAACTACAGCGAATTGAACACAAAAATACTCTTTAAATCGTAAAAACCTACCTGTTCATGTCAAACTGAAATCCAGCTGATTTGTGGTGAAGTAGGTCGCCGTCCACCAGATACTGACAGTCCACACACACGGATCAAACCCGGCCTGAGACGAGACTGTAGAGCGCAAACTCACCGAGCGAGTCTCCGCTGTGTTTAGGAAATGCCAACGCGTCTCCCGGAACTAACGTAAGACCCGACATGTGCGTGCGCGCTGACGTAAATGAGGATTACGTAAACTGGGCAGGGCAGTGGGCTGATACCGCGGATGCCTGGACAGAATAAACAAATAAAAAACAACATAGCTGAGGTTTCTTAAATAGACTGATGGGCGTGAATCACTGTTGTGTTTATGGACCTGGAGTTAAGATTGAAATGTGATAATAGTGTTATACTAATTGCCATTTAAATTGATGGGTTTCAGATTACATCACAGCATATAACATTTAATACAGATGGGGGCAGGTAAATGTATATTGCTAAAATTATATTGTATATTGCTAAAAAATAGTGAGTTCTTTAATCTAGTCACCGATAGAAATTATTAGATCCAAAATGTATCACTTTACTTTTTAGGATATTTCTTTGGCAAAGTACAGTGTAATCAACAGGAAAATCTGTCTCTTGCCCCCCATCTGAGAGTATGGCATCAACACATTTTAGAGTCTGAAAACCACCAACTCCCTTTGCTCCATTTCAGAAAAGTGATGGGAGTATTGTCTGTTAATATCCACGTGGTGGCGTATGGCTGCCATGTAAAATACAGCCTAATCATAACCGTTTAGTAAAACTCATGGATGTGGTTTTCAGTCAATGTATGTGATTAAGGCACCGTTGCCATAGCATTTAACAACTCAATAGGCTGTCTTCAGGCTTTAATCTTGGCAAAGTCCTCAAAATATCACCTAATAAGGAAGCTGAGAACCATGAATAGGTCATAGCCTACACAATTAAGATATCCCTGGGTCTTTGATTCATAAAATAGGACCATAAAGGCCTATAATCAATATGATCTCGGTTGGAATGCGATTGCCTATCACAAGCCAAATCAGTTTGAGAAAGAGAGAGAGAGAGAGAGAGAGAGAGAGAGAGAGAGAGAGAGAGAGAGAGAGAGAGAGAGAGAGAGAGAGGTATCTAAAAAAAAATGTAAGGAGGCAACCCAATCAACCGCAGGTGGTAGGCCCTGTTTAACGAGACGCTCCTGCCTCCACCCACAGGCTAAAGTAAAGGAAGACACACAGGAGACACACAGGGAGCGTCTCGCATCCACACGGGGCTCGGGAATAAATTGCTCCCGGTGCTTTTCTGTTTGATGGCATTTTTAAACGATGATCACGAGGATGGTAGAGAGTGCCCGGTGTGCTACGAGAGTTTATCGGGGACTGAGAGGACGCTGAGCTGCGGCCACGTTTTCTGTCACGACTGCCTCGTTAAAACCCTGGTGAGCGTCAATACCAATGGAAACATAAGAGACACCATAGTTTGTCCAATCTGCAGACATCTCACATTCATCAGGAAACAAAAGGAAGCCGTGGTGTCCTTCAATGCGGACAAGGATGTAGAAGCGGCAGGACAGACACTGGAAGTACCCGTGCCCCTCTCTGTGGGGCAGCAGCAGCATCAGCGCGCGAGCCCTCCATTGGACACTTTACCGAGGGGACTAAACTGGATCTCTCATGTTGTTAGATGGATTTCAGAACGACTACGGAGGCAGAGGCTGGTTTGTCCAACTCATAACGCATCACAGATTTTCATAATCAGCGCCGAGGGTCGTCCTATGGTGGAGGAAGATGCGCTCAGTGTGGTTATGACTGTGGTTCAGCCAAACAGACGAAGGCGCAGGGTGTGCACTACGGCGCGGTGCTTGCTCTTTTTACTCTCTGTTTTTACTGCTCTCGCTCTGGTGGCTGCAACATTACCCTGGATATTGTTGGCATAACTACGCCATATTCCGTAAGAACTGTGCCAATGCATAAAACATTTTTTGTAGGCTATGGACTGAAATATGCACTTGGATATTATGTGCAATTAGTTTTAAACTTTGGAAACTTAAATAGTTACGATAATAGCTCTTATGCTGATTTTGTTTTTCCATTTCCCTCATATTTTCATTTTGTCCATCACCAGTGACCTTTAAAATTAGGAGTTTGTAACATTTATTCTAAGCTGTTGTTCTTGCTGCCCTCTCAAAATCATAGTCCACGTGCATCATGTTTATTTATATTAATTTATCTTGACTACAGGTAGGCCTGTGTAAATAAAATTCTTTCCATTGAAAACCTTATTAATCCTTCGTCACATTGTCTTAAAGGTTTAATAGACACACTTGTTTTTTTGTTTTGTTTTTTGTAGCCTACTGCCACTTTGTTGTTGGATACCCAGTTTCTAAGCAGAGGACAAAAGCTTTTGTGACAGAAATGCCCTAGGTTGATGTAGGCCTACTTCTGTGAAGTGAGGGGCGGCAATACTCCTGCTTGGAAGTAGATGTGAAAGTGGCACATTTTCCAACAAAATGTTTGCAGATTCTTTTGTTTGGACAATGCTTAAAAGTGAGAAATAATTAATGCAGTGAACTGTCTAAGAAGATATTCTATAGCAGGGATACAGCTGTAAGGAGAGACCAGACCACAGCATTGGATTACAGCACCAGTCTATCTTATTTGGCTTGTTTGTTAGTGGTGTGCAGATACCTAGACTTACAACATTGCTTTGCTGTGTGTTGCAGTACACTCTTCTGATTCAAGAACAGAGTTTGTCCTTCGTAGAACAAGATTTGGCAGTATATCTGCCATCTTCTTAGCAAACATGTCCACTCCTAGTTTCCCTGTATGGTAACTCAAGTCATCTTGCTGGTCCAGTCATACTGGTTATACATCTGAAGTGACTGTTGTCATGTGTTTTCTCTGAGTGGGACGACAGCTCTGATTCATTTGTCATTACTGGTCTGTTAATGTTGGGAACATAGTCAAGCATAAACAGTAATAAGGCCAAAAGAGAACAGCTTATTACAAATGTAGACTTTAATATATATTTATTCTTGACATTCTGATCAGATTTGCAGGTATAGGCCTCACAGTACACAAACTGTGTTCCACTTGATATGCTAAGCAGAGGCGGATGAATGGATGACATGGTGGGCTCGACAAGCAGCAACTTCATATTCAGTACACTAGTGAAAGCAGAAGGAGGCAGTACATCCACACTCATCCACTCCTGTCCGTATTGCTATGAAAACCCAAACAGGACCTTTCAAAGAGATCCCCATTTCCAACACACAGTTCTTTGTTATTACATTGTTAACCCTTGTACAAACCCTACAAAGACAGTGTTTGACACAAATGTGGAATACAAAACGTTTCTCTAAATGCATGCATTACACATCATTTTTATTTTCTATTTTTCCCAAAATGTAAACAAAGTTTTATGAAGTGTAGAGAATATGTCCTAATGTACCATACAGTTGATATTCTTACCCATTACTAAAAGTTAAACAATGCTAAAATTAAATTGTAACTTGTAATACACCAGGGTACTTAATCTCTGCAGCATCATTGCGCTTATGAATTTAACACATGCTTTCTGATAGATGTAAAAGAAGCATTACATGCCAGCAGGCCATACTAAATCTTATTTACCTTTTACATAGGATGGTCTGAGTAAAGTCACAATCGGTCAACACAAAAAGGACACCTCCTCAAATGTATGGCTCCAACAGATACAAGACCTCCAGTATACAGTATATAAACCTGTTCAGTGACCCATGACAGGCCAAATGTTGACATACAATTATCACCACAGCTATCAATGTAATATGCAAAATCATTGTAAATTATCTTTAGTAACAGAAAAAAGAAAAAAAAAGATTTTACAACTTCTCCAATTGAAAGCATTTCACGAATCATAAGATTAAAAGACTGTGCCTGAGGTGAAGCACTGACATTGTAATTGCACTTTAATAAACATAATTACCATTTGTTTGAAGTGTCTGCAGCACATGTAAAATAATTTGATTTGAAGATAAATTTTTCACTTTTCTATTCAAATCATGAATGTCTTAAAATATGGTCTAATAACCCATCAAGAACTTTTACACACAAGTGATTATGTTGAAAACTGCAGGATTGAAAAAAAAATAAAATAAAAAAAATACATGAGTGTTTGTGATTGCTGCAGCATCTTTGTAACCTGGTTATTTAAGTGAAACATCACAAATACTGAGTCTGTGCAGGACCAAAAATAATGTGATTATTTTATCAATATATTTTCCACACATGATAAATATCAGCACATATATTATCATATATTCCAGTTAGTCATAGACTCTTCATCTCAGATTTATATACATCAATTTATGTACATGTTTTGTATTTACACTCGGGGTCAAAGGTCACTCAACCTGAAGCACTTAAAACATGATAAAGATTTATACAAACCTAAAGGCAGTGGTGTCCTTGATCACCAGTCTGAAACATGGGCATCTTCTGCAAAGAGGGTGTCTGACACTGCCATTTTGAGTCCCTTGGCACCGAGAGTTTTAGGCTTCATGTGCAATGTTTCTGTTGACTATTTAGAGAGTAACAGTTCAAAGTTCGCAATAACATTCTTTTATAATGTGCTGGTACGTGGTGATTTTAAGTGTAAATAATGTATAGGGTAATGTAAATAAAACTTGTGATTGAAGCAAGGTACACTAAATAGTAAAATACAACCACCTGGGCTGGGACCATCTTTGGGTCTTGGTGAGATGTGCACAAAGCTTGTATACCCTGTGAGCAAACACTGACCACTATCCACTAACACTCACCCTGTAAGCCTAGACTTTTACTGATCTCAAAAGAAAATCTTTCAAAAGCACGTTCTCATAAGGCAAACATAAAAACTTATACAAAGGCAGACCACTCTTGGGAACAGAAATAATGAACTGAAGCAAAGTGGTAAAATTATTGAAATACTGGTCTGTAAATCCAGTCTTTCCATTAAAAGGCAACTGTTCCTCCACAATGACATTTGTGTGTGTTTTGTAGTCATGCATGTGGACAATTAACTATAATACTGGATCTTTGCTGTCTAGCTGATGTGCAACAGGTTAGGCAGGGCTCAGGTGGGCATAGGTGAGGCCAACTGTTTTCCATCAGACATTGGTCACCTTAGTAAGCAGAGTGAACACGATTAGAGGCGCTGAAAGCTGTGGTGCCTTAGTGTCATAGAGTGGTACTTTGGGGCTCCTCCTCAGCCACAGCATCCCCTTCTGGAGAGTCTGTCACTCCCATGGACCGCCTGCAGGGGGCGCCGCTGAACTCATCGATGAGGCTGTCCAGATTGACATTGATGGAGGGGATTTCATAATTGAAGATATCTAATGGTGAGCATGTGGGGAGGATGAGGAGCAGAATGGTGAGAATGAGATGGCATGAGAAGGGCAGATGAGAATGGCAATGAAGTGTAAAACGGAAGAAAGCAGAAATAATATTAATATTTTTGGGTTTGGATTTATGACAAGTGGTGTATGGTTTCTGACCTGGTTGGAGGAATTAGTAGATTACATGTGCTTCATATTCTACACAGGGTGTTACCAGTGTATTCAAGTCACTACAGTGTGATATGTAAGCTTGTTGTGTCTTGTGAGACAGCATCTTTTCAAAATACAGAAAACACATCAAATTCACTGCACAAGGACACATAACTCTTTACAACACTGGTCAAGTAAACCAACACAGAGGCAACAAGATGTTTGATGGCACCAGAAGACACCAAGTAAGAACCGAAATACATCTTAGATATTTTTGCATTGAAACGTTTACAGTAGCTGCTGCTTTTGTATTTGCAGCAGCAGGCTCAGGCAGACTAGCTCCTGTGTAGGAATGAGATGAGTGAGGCAGCGTAGTAATAAGGTGCAAAGGTTATTAAAGCAATGAACCTGCCATAAGAAGTATAGGGGGTTTACCTGGTCCCCCTAGACTAGAGGCAGGGCAAGTGAGGGGGATGTTTGTCGCTTAGATACTGGTTTAGAAAAGCATCTTAAGAACGGACCTTACACTGTACAGACAATGTGAGCGCTGCGTGGTGCACTCTAGGATATCCTTGAGCCATGCACTGTTTGAATCAAATCTTGAATTTGCGAATATGATCTCAATTGTGATTGATATGTCCATTGTGGCAGGCTGCAGGAGGCCCAGAGGCAGCCACACGTAGATGCCAGGCAGTGAAATGGAGCGCATGGGGCGGGGGCGGTCTGGCTTACCCTAAAGTCCCCCTCACATTTAGCCCACATAGAATCCCTGGCCTCATACGGCTGCAAGGTACACAATAGTAGCAGGGGGACAAGAAATTAATGCATGTAACAGTGATATAAAGTATGTATTGTCAGAGCAGCTAATTATTACAACATTATGTAAAGTGTCATGTTTGGGATCTAGGCTCCACTCCTGCTACTGCGCTGAACAGACCAGTCTGTGCGTGAGCGCTGTAAGCTGTTGACCTACCTCTGCCAAGTGAGGGTCTGGGTAACACAGATAAACAGAGAGCACAAGATGAGTCGAATGGCAACTCCAGTACAAGCAGGACAAGCTATGCTTCTCTGATGTTTCCACATTACCCAGAAACATCGATCACAGAACACAAGCAATGGATACATAGGTCCAAACCTCTTTTCTACAAGTGCACAAAAGTTGAGTATTGCACAGGTATCATTTGACATCTGTGTCTAAAAGGCAACTTGAATTCATTGAGATATTCATTTGAGGAGATGTGTTTAAATCTATGGTGAGTCCTACAGAGTCAGTCCTACACCCGTCCACCATCTCCATTGGGCAGAGCCACAGCGAGTCTGAGAGTGGGCCGCTGCAGCCCCCCCTGTGGTGGGGGTGGCGGGGGTGTTGTGGCCATGAGATGAAGATTACCTGTGGACAAGCTCTCTCCAGGCGACAGGCCATCCATCAGACCCTGCTCCAAAGGCTGTGGCACAGAGGCGGAGCTGGGTCCAATGAGTCCAGAGGGCACTGAGGGGGGCTGGGGGGGTGGCAGGCTGGGTCTCTGCCGGGGTTTAGGAGCAGGGCGGGACTTGGTAAGTGTTCCTGTTAAAGAGGGTGGGGATGACAGAGAATGTGGTCCTCCAAGTGGGGTCTGTCCTGGAGAAGAGGGGGGAAGCGGCCCAGGTGGACAGCTCAGTCCGTAGGGCGAGGGGGTACTAGGAGGAGTGGGAGACAGGCTGACGGGTGATGGCTGTCCCGCAGACTGGTCAGGCATTCCACCAGACTGACAGTATGGGACTTTGGGAGGCACTGGGGCCAGTTTCTTAGAACCTGAGCACAAACAAAAGTTCAGTTACCACAGTTATTTCTTGAGTTAGATTAAATGATAAAAACAATCAAGACCTTTGCGCAAAGAGTGTGGGCTGTGCTCTGTAGAGTGGGGGCACTGGGTGCTGGTCTGGGGGCTACAGTTAGGAGGAACTGTTGGAGTTGCCACCTGGATGGCTTTGTGTCCAATCACAGGGGAGAGCTCCTTACTCTTCAGGGAACTGAAACAACAACGTATGTTAGCATCAAGAATAGAGGAATAGCAAATAAATAAATTGATGAATTATATATATAATTCATCAATTTATTTATTTATATAGTTACATGAACATAGATATACCACCATTACCATCAACATCATACACCACCAACTGCATAATATACTGTATCTAAAAACACACTGTGTCAGTGGTGTTGTTTGTAGTTGATATATCGTTGCATATTATATTTGATTTTAGATTAAGAAGTAGGTCATGTCATTCATACTGTTCTGTAGCTTCGAAGACTAATGACAAAGCGCTGTCTTCTCAATTATTGTTGTCATGATACTAAATACCAGACTTGAATTTTGATACTAGGAAAAGATCCCACACTAAATCAAGGTAATAATCAAATTATTCCGAAAAGGTCTAGTTCTTTTCTCAATATTGATACCTTAACTTCTATAACAAGAAAGTTGCATTTAATTCCACAAACATTGTAATGAATTGGGATTTTGTTATCACCACATCTGAGTACAGGTCAAACAGTAGCTGTAGACAACCCCTCCATATATCACTTTTCAATGTATATATGCACATTATTTTGCCCACCTATATTTGTAATGTCCCATTTTATCATAAAAGTATGTACCAGTTTCATGGTATAAGCCATATTCAGTTGCTAGGCAACCAGATGTCTGGACAACGTGAATGCTACAGATTGTGAGGTAGTGTATGTCAGCTGGAGGGGGAGGGAGGACAAGCAGAGAAAAACAGCAGCAGCATCAGACTGCTCCACTGTAGGCAGGGGTGTGTAGTATTTACCTAGTCAGTCTGGGGGGTCCTCTCTCTCTGGCACTTGAACAAGCAGCCCATGGAGGGGGCGGGGGTGCAGATGAAGGGAGGCTAGGGGGGTTACCAAAGGCCTGATCGTGGCGGGTGAGAACCAGGGGCGTTTTGATGTACAGAGGTGACGCGCTTGTGTCTGGTGGTGGAGGGGCATGTGGTACGTCACCCGGAGGACTGTGCTTGGCAAAGTGCAGACAGCTGGGTTTGGGGTTTGAATTTATATCAAGTGAGGAGGAAGAGGACGAAGATGAGGAGGAGGGGGGTGGGGCTGGGGGTGTAAAGCCAGACCAGCGAAGGGGTGCTGGAGGTGATCCAGGGGGCTGAGACTCTGGACCTGGTGCCACCGGACGGGCACAGGGCGGGGGTTTGGGGTAGAAGTGGTGTGTCATACTGTGGCACGAAGACATGGGGTAAGGAGGAGGGGGCCGGTCCTCCCCCTGAGGTGGGTGGGCATGAGAGGTGTCCGGCCGATTGGGTAACACGAGCTCTGAGCTGCAGATATTAAAAGAATAGACAGCAGAAAAAAAACAGCTCCAGTGACTGAACAGGGAGAGCCGTAAGCCAGATATGACCAGGATGATACTCTTAGTTGGCCCATGGTCAGCATAGTGTCAATACAAACAAGCACAGAGAAAAAGCAAAAGAAAGGTGCGGGAGTCCCGTTGGGCTCATCTTGTGTCTGCACACTGCATGGAGCTGTGAGGAGCCAGCGCTGGACAGCCCAGTCGTTCTGCTGACTGTGTTATCAGGCTGAACTGATGACTAAATGTCTCCCTAGGCTGCACATGGAAACCCTATCTGCTCACTCTATAGGACTTGTTTGCATTGCAGCTCCTGCCATCAGCCCAGAGCAGTGTGAAACAGACGCAAAGCCCTTTCATTCGCTGAAAGAGCAACAGAAGAGGTGGGGGAGCCAGCCAAGCCAGAAGCTATATTATCTTGTGTCTGCCACACAGGCAGAGCCAGCAGCTATGAGGTGAGTTGTCATGTGTATAGCAACAATAATCATACCATAGCAAAAAGGCAAAAAAAAAAAAAAACAAAAAAAACAATCAAAGATAGATAGAAAAGAAGCTGAGAATACCAATCAACATCAAAATGATGTTAAAAGGGCGTGCATGCTTGCAAAAAGCTGCATACTGAAGCACACTCCAGGTTGAATGCAGTGTCCAAAAGTGGACTAAGACTCCATACAATGAGGCTACAATTAGCCAAAGTGACATAAAGAAAAGCAAAAACAGGATGCGAAGGAAATTACAGAAAAGAAATTAAAGCTGTTTTTGCAAATTAATAAGGTATGATTAATTAAAGCGCAGGAGGGTTGTCAGATAAAGCTGAAGAGGAGATGATGGTGATGGTAATGGTAATTTACACAAGCCTAAGCGATGGATATCATGTATAACCCAAGAGGACTCACCAGGCCCGGTCACTGAGTGGAGGTGTGGCAGAGGGTGATGTCACAAACTCCCCAGGCTGTTCTGGGATCAGTGAGTCTGCAGAGGAGCCTGGAGCGGGCATTCCCGGGGGAGTGGATGAAGTCTTCCTCGACAATGTGGATGAGCCCTTACGAGAGACCCAGGTGGTATCCATCACCCTAACGCCCATACTGAGACAATAAAATAATATTATGTATTATGTAAGAAAGTAATAGGGGAAGAGGAAGAAGAAAATGTATGCTACAAGTACCTTTGTATTTTCCTAATGCTGCATTAGTAGGAAGAGAGAGGAAAAGGAGCATGGTATGAAAAGTGATGAACTTAGTACTTTGTAATAACAAACAAGCAAATACAATTCAAAGTAAATGGATTCCATAATTAGTTCAACATTTGAAGATTAAAGTCTCATAAATTTGAATACTGAGAATATTTGATATTCTCAAAGGTTTTTACCTTTAAGCATATCACACTGTTAATTGATCCTAATGCAAATAGCTCTGTGTAGCACAGAACGGCAAACAGCAGACCAATGTTTTAACGCTAGTTAATGTAAGATTAGTGTTTGCAGTGATTTTTGTAAAATTCCTGTGAATGACTCAGGACAGGTGATGAGCCTGCCAGACTGGGAGGGAGGAGCAAGTGTGGGAGGACGAAAACCAACGCTGAAGAAAACCAGTCTTACTCTGTTGCTATAGAAACAATGCCAATCAAAGCTGCTCATTTTCTTGAAGTCTGTGTAATTATAGTGGTGTTGTAAAGAGCAACACAAATCATATGGATCGGCTGATTGATTATTATAACATTGATTGCTTAGCTATTAAGTGCTAATGTAAAATACTCAATATATTTTGTTACTTACATCACTATGATTAGGTTGCACAAACCAGTATAACTTCTCCTAAAATGACCCCACAATTTGAACAGATTTTTTTTACTCTTCTCTAATACAAATTTAAAATCTGTGTGTGGGGGTGTGATGAGAGAAAATACAGGATCACAGACTCTGCATTAAGTGGGAAGGAAATTTTTACACTTGGCACCATACCCATCCTTCTTGTAAAATTCGAGCATCATGTTGTCCGTGGCAACACTCAGTGGGCGACGGCTTTGGTCGTGCGGCTGCTTGCGTTCTGATTGGTCCATGTCTGGTGAGGGCATGGAGCTGTAGTTGGAGTTGTGGTTGGTGTGGACCGGGCTCCCGTAGCAGCCAGTCAGGTTAAACTCAATTTCTGAGACAAAGCAGAAGTACTATCATAAACAATGATTTGTAAATATTAGTTCCATTTATAAATACACAAAACAATGAATCTTATCCAGACTGATTATGTCTTAATGTATGCATAATGCAGCTCTGTATATATCCCAAAACAAGAGGCATGGATAATGCATATGAGTGCCAAGAACAGCTCATCAATTTTAATGTTCTCGCAATTTTTCACATTTTGTTTTTAATCTTAATTATTAGTTTTGAACAAACACACACAATATTAAATAATTCAATGTTAAAATGTTTAAATTTAATGCTTTTTTTTTTTTTTTTTTTTTTTTGAGGGTTCATGTAACACACTGTTTCACACTAAAACTAAATGTGTGCATAATAGACCCTTTGTAACTGGAGAACCTATTCTTGGAATTTTTTTATTGTAAGCCAGTATTTCTTATGATGAAACCAAGCCTCCTGGTTGAAGTTGTTAACACACACACAAATCCTACAACTACAATACTTGTCTCACCTCCAGGAAAGAACCAATCAGCATGCTGAATAATAGGTTCAATAATGCCAACTATCTGCAGGGACACTGTTGTCATCATCTCAGTCATGTTCCTAAAAAAAAAAAAAAAAAAAAAAAAAAAAAAAAGAGCAACAATGAAGCAAGCTTTTTTTAACGCAATAAAATGGTTAAAGTTGAAAAACATACGGTTCAGTGTGTGTCCACAGCAAATTGGGGCCGAGGACAATCGCCATGTTACCGGGCGTCATCTTGTTTGATTCCTGATATTCACTCAGCTTGGCCAAGAATTTAATTAAATATCTGCAGAAAATGAAATAATGATTACCAATTGCCAATCTAGGCCAGTGAGTATTTGAACGAGTGGTTAATAATAGCTTGAGTTACTGACCTGAAATTGTTCAAATTGTCTGTGGGAAGTTTTTCACAAGTTGCCATAAGTGCTTGTAATCTTTTGTCCATATCTTGAATGCTGAAAAACAAATATGTTATATTTATGTGATTCCAGTTACATTTCAGTATTTTTCATTTTGGCAGAGCACACTTTTTAGAATAGTTTCACAGCCAGTGGCATGATTTCACCAAGTACACTATAATGAGAAGACAGCAACTCACTTGGAAGCCTGTATCCATTCGTCATAAAGTTCTGTGGTCATTAGTGGCTCTGGGAGTTCGCGGAGGTAAGATTTTAATGCCCCTGTGGATTCAGACAAAGCAAAAAATAAATATGTGGAATACAGAGCTGATCGGAGTCTTGAAAAACAATACTGCACTATATTCCTATGAAAGCTGGTTAGTACCATAGCCAAAACTCAACCACATTGAAGCAGCCTCCTCTTACACACGTTAGGACTATTTAAACCGTGATACTGTGATATGTAAATCAATTAAAGGTTAAAATTAATTAACAAACTTACACATACAATATGACAGCATTATCTGTTATCGGAAATCACACCACTCATTACAACCAACTGTCATACTAACTAACCCTGCCAAATGGTAATGTCATAACTACGCTCTGGGGAAATGAGAGGAAGAAACATACTTTTTTAAAGAAAGTGATATGCACAATCATATGCCTTAAATAACCCCACAGTACTTGAAAGCATTTCTCTATCTTCTGTTGTTTGGTAATCAAGTGCAGAGGCTTGTTGTTATGGCAATAGGCTTAGAACGAGTCACTTCTGTGGGCGTAGTTCACCTGCTATGGCGTGTGGATCAGAGGAGTACTCCTGCACATCCAGAACCCCACAGTCCAAAGAGGCCTTTAGCTTCTTCAGCTTTGACGCAGATGGAGCTACTCTAAAGAGACCCTGCACACATTTAGGAGAAGGTAATTTGTTAGTACTGTACAAACACATTTTAAAAATTAACCATTGTAATTTTTCAGGTGAAACAGGTGAAGCCACCTGGCTAAGTTACAGGTCAGATCTGTGGAGAGGCAACCCTAATCACAGAAAGAATATATGTTTTTTTGTTTTTTTTTAATCACATCCTACACAGAATGCATGAACCCAATACACGTGCTTATGAGTTTTATGCAGTGGTGGAAGAAGTGTTCTATTTTTTTACTTAAGTAAAAGTACAGATACTGGAACAGAAAATACTAAGTAAAAGCTAAAATGTCACATTACAAAATTTACTTATGTGAAAGCATTAAAATAAGAGTAAAAAGTAAAAGTATTTAGCGCAGACTGTGAGATCTAATAAAGCTTTAAATGTGGTGATTTTGAGATTTGTGCTCAATTTTGTTCAACTTGAACTAATGGAAATGATAGTTTTTACCTATCTAAGTTAAAAAAAAAAAAAAAAAAACTCAGCAGATCTCACACACACACACAAAAAAAAAGTTTAACTTTACAGTCCAGTTTAAAAATGTAGTGGAGTACAAAGTACAGTACTCTCAATTGTAGGAAGAAAAAAAAAAGAATAGACTTTAAAATTTACTTAGTAAATTAAGTAAAGTACAGATAAGTGCATTACTACTTGTACTTTGTTACATTCCACCACTGGCTTTATGTGCTCTTTTTGTAGTAATTCCATTCCATGTGTCATTGCTATTATAAAAATGTTGTCAGAAATGAAAAAATCTTCTACAGAGATATAAAGTGTACTTATAAAACAGAAGCAATGATCTGACGTATACCTCCTCCTGCATGCCACACTCCAGTAGCATAGTGACACAGGCCTCGATGGGGAAGGCGATTTCTCTCCCGCTAATGTTCAGGTGCTCTTCTAGGGACTTGCCAAACGACGGCTTCTCTACCCACGCTTCTGTAACACACGGCACAGACTGGCATCACACACAGGCAAACAGATTCTGCCCTTTTTCTCCGCTTCTTGGTTAAAACTGATCATTATTACTCTTGGAAAATATTTACAAGCCCCCTTAGTGCTCAAATAAAAAGCAATTACAGCTGGATGTGGCGTCTTTGTGTTTGTTATGACTCACCTTGCTGCGCTTTAATCTGAGGCAGAATACTGTGAAGAATCTCTAATGATTTCCGATGGTATTCGGCCTGTGTTTCTATCAACTGCAGATAAACAAAGCTCTATATCAAAATGGGGTTCTGATATTACAACAATAATGTTTTGTTTGCTTACCGTCTGGAAGTAGTTTGCATAGTCTATTTCTTTGGCCACAAAATTGTACATGTCTGCTGACAATTGATCCTGAAAGAGAAAGCAGACAACCATTTACATAGGTTATGTTGGAAGGTGCACTATGTAACTTTAGATAGTTCACCATCTGCTTGTTTCCACGGAGATATTACTGCTTTTCCTGGAATGTTCCACATTATGGCATTAAACTTATCTCCATGGAGACAAGGATGTGACATCATCTGGCAATGTTACAGGTAAAATATGAGCAGAGGTGACCCTTCTCAGTTAGAAAGCATGTTTTTCTAAGATATTCTGAGCAATAAAACAATGAATGCACTGGAGACTAGCAAGTGACAGAGCCTCTTCCATAAAAACTTACACCTTTAGGAAGTATCATGTACTTTTATTATGAATGTATCTAAAACCAGAGAAAGAAACTTCATATTCTGAGTAGCTTTTGTAGCTATGGTAATAGTAGTATAGTTCCTCTGTGTAAATGTGGTTAGGCGACTAATTTTGAAGCATATATTGCTAAAGAGAAATATTGGAATAACAAATATTGAAATTACTTTATGACACTTAAAAAAAACTTAAAATAAAGCAGTACAATCCCAGTAAACCATTTAAAATCAACTATATCATCAAAAGGCCTGAGCTGCAAAAGTAAATAACAAATCTATAAGTTGATCTGATATTATCACGACAGGCCTAAATGTTGTGTATGTATTCAACAGGCTGACTGACCCTGCAGATCTCCATTCGGGTGGCGGCCTCCTCCATCTCCTCACGCAGAGACTCAGACTTGGCTCCAGGCTGAAGTGTGCTCGGGTGACTGGACGACTTTGATGACTGCTGAAATCTGTGGTAAAGTGAAGTGAAATTTTAAACAATGATCGCAATAATAATATATATTTTTGTCCCAATCGTTACTCTGTAATTTTCTTCACCTTGTTCGTGCAGAGTCCATGTCCAAAACAAGTTTAGCTAAGTGTTTTCTCTGTTTCTGGATGTTGGGAATATCCACCTACAGGAAAATAAACATAATACAAACTTAAACTTTGAAACAGCATTAAAGGTGCATTGTGCAACTTTTCTGGTGGAGGACTCGCTACCTATTTGTCTCCACGGAGATGTTATTGCTTTGCCTGGAATGTTCCATGATATAACTTAAGATATATCCATCTAGCATTTACATACAACACTGGAGTTTCTATAGTTCAAAAATAAAACAATTCCTTCCATGAATAGGGGCAATTCTGTAGCGTAGTGCTGTAACCTGCTTGTCTCCCGTGTGATAGGTTTAATCTATACTGTGGAACATTCTAAACAAAGAAATAACATTTCCATAGTGACATCAGGTGACGGACCCTCCACTAGAAATGTTACGTAGTGCACCTTTAATAAACAATTCACGTTATTTCAAGCTAAAGTTTCCTTAGGCAGGTTTCACAGACTTGAATCCTCTATATATTCTACACAAATCACTCTTGTATGATCCCTCAACCATTCACAGCAATTTCCATGAGATATTTTCACATTAACAATCAGTGCTTGTTTAGATATAGTGACTAATCTTGACTGTGTCTTGTAGCTCTCACCTCAGCCAGCACGTAGAGAGGCTCCACCACATCTCTCTCTATCTGAAACTCAAACTGAATCAGCTCCTGGGCCAATCTCTCCTCTGTTTCTCCGCTTATCTTCAGCATCTTTCTGTTCATTCAAACACAAAAATAATAAGACTCATGGTATAATTATATGACTAAAACAAACCTCTCCAAAACAGTGAAATAGCACTTACCCTAATAGAGAGTCATCCCCCAACACTGCAGCCCCTTCGACCAAACATTGTGCTAAAACTGTAAGTGGTAGTTTTTTCTAATAATAAATGAAATAAAGAAGATAAAGAGAGAAAAAATAAATAAATCACAGCCAAAGTTAACACATTTTCCAATCTCATATGCCATTCTGAAACACTAAGGCTGGGCAATCTGACATAAATGTATTTTTTTCTCTTATATTGATCCAACATTTCTTTTCTTGTTAAAAACATATATAATTTAAAATAATATCACAAATATAAAACAAGCACTTAATCAGTGCTGTTTACATACATACACTCTAGTCTAAACCAGATGCGTTCACTAACAGAGGATTGGCTGTTGGCCTCTTGATTAAAAAAAACAAGCTGATCATTGATGATTTGAAACTATCAGATCTAATTTCTACTAAAATTTGATTACATAATTGCATGTTATTGACCTGCATGGTCCTATAAAACACATTTGTATTTTTTTTTAAATTAGACACATTTTAAATATGCAAAACTAGAAAATGCCAGTGTAACATCATAAATGAATAGTGAACGACAAAGAGATACTCACGGATGGGGACTTGACAGACCTCTTCTCCGGGTCGGCCCCCTGCTGGCCCTGCAGACAGGCCGTCAGCTTCTTATGGGTGCTGTGACTCACTTGTTTGACCAGATCCAGGCGCTTCTCCACCTGCAACAGCACAGTCCTATTATTACCCCCAAGCCTCTTATCACCCGCCTTAATAACATCATTCACACCTGCTTAAAGACTCTAGTGAGAAAAGCGATGGTGGTAATTGCTTTCATTTAATCTCATGCTCCTTGTGTACAATGTGAGATGGTACTACTGTTTCCTAGCTCACCTGTAAAAGGTCTTCACTCAGTACTTCTGTTTTTTCTGCCCTGCAAACAAAAAAATACAAATTGTTAAGCTTTTTTTTTTTAGGCTACTTTGTTTGTAAAGCACTATTCACATACAGTGTTTTCCAAAAATGAATTACAAAGGTTAGAATAATTATACACCTTAACATTTAACATTAAAATCAGATTCAAATAATAATCTTATAATAACAAATAATATCATTAGTCCCACAATTATTTCTACAACCACAGCTTTTGAAACAGCAACAGTGATGTACACTGCTTTGGATTTCAAAAGCATCCATTAAAGATATCCAGAGGAGCACTTTACATTGCATTATTTATTTGCTTCTCACTCGGTTGTGGTAAACTACTGTTACAGCCACAAGTGTCCTGGGGCAGACTGACGGAATCAGCTCCATCTACCCCTCTGACTACCACCAATCACACACTCATATATCACATTCATGCTAGACAATGTGAGTCAAGAGTCACACATAATGACACAATGAGAGCTTTAGAGCTACTGTATTCCCAGGGGTTTCCCATCCAGTATTAAGCAGGTCCAGGCTCAAACCTGCTTAGTTTCCAAGTTCAGTGAGCATTTTCAAATTGGTGCGGTATGGCCACTGACCACAATGTAATTTATGCACGTTTATACATGATTAAAGGAAAATGGAAAAATACATACATAAGATATATAACAGTATGTAATCAAGTTTTGTTCAAAAAGGAGTGGTAAGATGTTTTAAGATATTTTATTAAATTTTACTTAACATTTAATTACAGGATTTTACATTTGATGCTTTCTGCTCTGTATTTCCACTGAATAACAGATTTCTGCAGACAATAAATCATACTATATTGTAATGTCAATACTTCTCTCATACACATCTCATTTGCATTTTATGCTTATTTCTGAACTGCCTTGGGTTTGTAGAAAGTTTTATTTTCTCGTTTATAATCATGCTCCAGTCATTTGAGAGTGGGTTTCTTTGGATTATGTGGGTGGCCCTTTTAAATCTGTTGTAACCCGATGTATTATTATTGTTGAATCTTGATGTCAAAACACTACAGCACAACAGGACCCAAAGCAGAGGCCACTTGATCCAATGTGCCCTGTCCCACTGGGGAGCACTCTGTCCCACTAGGACAGGGGAGAGACTGGGGCCTGAGCCAAATTCTGGAGGACTAGCAGCAAGGCAGATAAAACTACTCATCTGGAGCAGGCAATGAGGCATCACAGTTTTACTTATGCCATCAGCAGCTTGACTCACAGTAGTACTTCTTCAGCAAAGTACGTTCCAACTACAGTTTCACAAAAAGGGAAAAGTCGGCAGCTTGCTGTTCAAAATCAGTTCCAAAAATCTATTGAAACCATTACACAATAGATACACAATTACAGCATGTTTGGATGAAATTATGACCTTCCACTTATTATCTGTGATTATAATATTTTAATTATTCTGGCATGTTTAAAACTCCACATCAGCATTTATTTTGTCATTCTTTACTTTCCACTTCCTTAGACCACATTTTTGAATGTTTCTAAACCTACTTTACTCACCCAGAAACCCCAAAAGAGTTTCTGCTTTGGAAATGCTCTGACCCAGTTGTCTAGAGTTATAATTTATTTTGTAGCCATGTCACACAAATCCAAAATCAAAATCTATTCATTTTCACCAGATAAATGTGAAAGGACCCATATTATTTTACTTTATGATGTATATTATAATGTTGTTTCCTCATCACAAACATACACAGAGTTGTATATTATTGTTTCATTCACAAATGTTTAACTGTGCATATTTTCCAAGTTTTTCGCTCAAACAGAAAACACTCTGTTCCCACCTTGTGATGTGGTAATACAGGAAGGTAGCTGTTAACTACTGCTTCATGACATCATGAGCATTTTCAGCTTTGGAAATGTAGACAAACTAAAGAGTGTGACTCAAACATGTGTGAATGAAACAAAACACTTTGAGAAGTTTACAACATTATAACAGGGCACACAAACCCTGCATATATGCTCAGTTCTTCTCTTAAATAGAAGACACTCTGTTCCACCTTGTGATGTCATGTGATAATATCTGGGTATGGTTTTGATGAGGTAACATCAGTGTAACATAACTTAAAGCCCACAAGAATCAATTTTGTATAATATAATATCTACCCAGCATGTAATCTATGTACACTTCATTCATAGCGTTATGACTGATTAGTGCAGAGCCAAAATGAGCTTTTTCAGTTCATCTTAGCATGAGGTCCAGACCTGTTGACCCTGTTGCTATTACCAAAGCCACGCACACACTTTACTCTCACTGCTTCCTTTTCCTGTCTGCACAAACTCTTCCGGCCATTGTGCCCTTGACCCAGTCACTGCCCAATGGAAATAATGGTCAGTTTCTATTATTTATTCCAACAAAAGTCAAGTTTCCATTTCTATTGACCACAGGGAAAACCTTGTGGTCATTGTTGTCTTATGTACAGAGTGTAGCACAACTTTCAGGCTCAATTACCAGTAATCTGAGGTCTGACCCTATTGCAAAAATGTAAAAAAATATTTCCAGATATAATATTCTTATCTGACATATTTTAGTTAATTGCATCAGTAGGTTAGTGAAGGAACAAGGGAAATAGGCCTGTCATGTTAATCACTATATTGACTTATTGTTCAATATATAAAATCTGGAACAATATATTTTGAGGTTCAGTATTTATCGTGTGTACATTTTCTTTTAAAAAGTGGGGAGATTTTGGTGTTTTTGTCCCAATATAATAAGATTTGAGCTATAGAGGTTGAAAAAGTGACTTCTGTGGCTAATTATTGGTTGATTCTGTTATGTCTCTGTTGCAGCTTAGTCATTTTAATGATGCTGTCTATTTAACGGTTCACCAGGATTATCACATTTTATTGTGGTTGTGTCAGTGGCATAAAGTAGTTTCAATATAATCGTTTACCACATATATCTCTCTCGCAATATGTCATGCTTTAAAGTTTGTTATTGTGACAGGTCTAATGGGAACTGGGTCAAAGCATGATGGATCTAATCACAGCCAGCTTCCTGGACAACGGCTTGTGAGCGGACAGGAAGTGATTGTGGATATGGCACTTTTGCATTAAATGACCACATACAGAGAGTTAAGGCAGTTCAGGAAGAAGAATGTGATTACAGACTGCATATAAAAAAAATTAGAAAAAATAAACAATATTCACTGTGTAGTCACTGATCCAAACTTGCAATGGTTAGGATTCAATCATCAAACACAGTCACGAATTGAAGTGGTATGCTCAAGGACACAACAATAGAACAAAAGGCAATGGTATTTAACTACACTCTCTGTCGTTTAGTTAATGACTTCTTGATTAAAATGTGCAGTTACTGTCTATTCTTTGAAAACCTTTGTATCTCCATAAGACAGGAAGACATCTGTATATTATGTATTAAAGACTGTTTTCTGATCTGTATTATAATGCTGTTTCCTCATCACAAACATACCTGGAGTATTTCATAGGGTCCTTTTTGCAAACCCAAAACACTCTGCTGCACCTTGTGATGCCATCTGCTCCACTGTGTTTTTAAACTCCACGCACCTTCACTAGAATCATTTAGATAATTTCAGCCTTGGCAATGCCCATCTCTACTGAGCTAAAGGGCTGTTAACTTGCTGTTAGCTTAATTTAACTGTTAACTTGAAAACTACCACTTCATCACATCACGAAGTAGATACATACATAACAATAAAGAATTACTCAAACAAAACACAACTCCACATATGTTTTTGAGAAGGTAACAACATTATAACTGTATCTCTCACATGGTAGAAGTCTGGATTACAGCTGGGAGCCTGTCATTGCTAGCTTCAGGCTAAACCCACAAGGGACAGTGGAGTCGAGGGCCCCTAAAAGGAGGGGGACAGAACAGCAGTCCGGCAGAGACATGTGACACACTGGGCAGAGTGGCAGCATGAATTAGCAGTCAACCTGTCACGCTCTGCTCTAGACAGTCTGTCTTTGTCAGTGATATAAAGACATTTT